ACTCTCAGAGGAAAGGAGAAGTTGTTCTTGCTCAGGGCTTCTCCAACCTGTAGTAGAAAACAAACAAACAAACAAAAAAACCACTATGGATGCCACACCTCAGATGGCTGCTCTGAGCCCCCTCTGAGCCCAACATGCTCACCAAAGCCCATCTGCAGCCTGTAAAAGTGGAGACGGCAGTAGAACTCTGAGACAAAAAAAAAAAAAAATACTCCAGACCCCCTTCCCCCAAAAGATGGTATAATGTGAAGTGAGCCAAGATAGTTTTATGCTTTCCCCCTGAATCTGTTCCAAGATTTTATTCCAACCATTAATAGGAATAACATAGGCAAAGTGACTTCAGGGAAGACTTCTGGTGGGCCTGACTGTCCAGTGTCCTATTGGATTTAGAAGATAGTGTACACTCTGACACTTCACATTTAAATATCTGTATGTACACATTTACACATATAAACGTATATAAACATGAATTGTGCATAACTTTTTTCTTCATTAAGTACAGACATTTCTCTAAGGACTGTCTTATACCCATTGTTAGTTGCATGGACATCTTTGGATTTGGATTGAGATAATGCAAATTAGAGAATTTTAAAGCAGAGAGTTTCTTACATTGCAAGGCAGATTTGCATGTGTAATTGTGGTAAAGCTTCCATGGACATAAAAGGACTCGGTGGGTTTGGAGTACACCTGTGTATTGGGCTAGATTCTAAAACAGTAAATAAAAATAGAAAGCAAAAAAAAAAGGCTTTAAAGTGAAACAAATTATGGCAAACTATATGTTGTATCTCTTTTACTCCTATTCAAAATAGACATAATAACTTCTGTTTGGCAAAGTTGTGATAACATATTAACTGATACATATATGCTGAAACATATTAGCTAATACATATGTGCATCTAGATAACTTGCTGATGATATTTGAAGATACTCCAAAAAGTCATTCAATGGCTGTAGTGGTAGATTCCCATTTCACCGTCTTGTGCATGGCTAACCCTGTGCTTAGGATTAATGATAAATGCTTTCCCCCTCGTTATCATTCCTGCTACAAGGATCCAAGCTAATAGAAAGAGTTTCAAAATTAGTCATATTCAGTAGGCTTTTTGGCACCAACCAGGTAAACTAAAGTTTGTGTTTCCATGAAAATGACTTTCAAATTCCAGCAACTTATAGGCTAATTATGTATCTATGTATGTATGTAT